GTCGTTCATAAAATTTGCAAGACTTTCACGAATTCCCACGATCAAGGTACCAGAAATGGTGTTTTGGAAAGATTCAGGATGTTGGCGGTGCATCAATTAGGTTGATTCGCGGTGTTGAAATCCAGAGAATGGCGTTCTGGCAGGATCCAGGACCGTCAAGACGCAACAGTCAAGTTGATCCGTGGCGTTGAAATCCCGAGAGCAGTGTTTTGGCATGCTTCCGGGTCCTCAAGCGGGTGTCTTCCAACGAGGCAGATCCCGTAATGGGAATGAACCGTTGCAGGGGCCTATGAAAAGGGAGCTTGGAGGGAGGGTGCATTCCAACATCGTTGATGGCTCTTGGGTTAATACTGGTCCTCCTCCACCTTCTCCTCCTCCTCCTCCGGCCGCATCCTCACCCGCATCCCCATTTGCCAGGAGCGGGCGTGTGCCGAAGCTTCCTCAGGCCGAGGATCACACGCACGAGCGCAGCAGCGACGGGAGTCGCGGCGGCGCCGTGCCCGACGGGGCACGAGAACGTCAGTGGCCGAGCGGCGGCCTCCGCGCTCGCCGGGTGGCATCCGAGAGGCCTGCGCTGTGTAAGAGTGCTTGTGGCGACGGCTGCTGCAGCGAGGATGCAGTCGGACCTACAGTCGGCCCGTATCGTAAGGATGCGCGGTGAGGCTGCAAGGGCCTTGGACGCCCATTCCGAAGCTTTTCGAGCGGAGCGCGGCCAACCAGAGTGGTCAAGGATCTACCGAGGAGGCAATGATGCGAAGGTACCCTTGGGAAGTTCGCCCATCCTTAACTACTACGCGGGTCGACTGTAGGCGAGAAGAACATCCCTCAAGAACATGAGCGCCTCCGCCGGCACAAACAAGCAGAACGTCCAAGGGTACCCCCCCAGGACGCACAAGAACCCCCGACGGGCACGAAGAACACGAACGTATCCTGCCCGGTCTCGATCTTGTACCTCGGTCCGACTCTATGTAAAGTGCCTCGGATCCCAGAGCACACCCGGGTGGCCAAGGACGATTGAGGCGTGGCGGCAGCAGCGGCCACCGCGCTGCCTTGAGTTAGATGCTCATTCTGGGGACCTTCCTGGAGCCACTGACTCTACTCGCACATCGAAGCTGCGTCGAATGTCCATCGACTCGAGCCGAACTTGAGTCGAGCCTGAGCCGAACCTGAGTCGAACCTGAATCGAACAAATGTTGCACTTGGCCCACAAAACGAGCATCGCACCGAAACACTGCGCAGGACACTCATAGTTAACCAAACTGCTGCCCTTTCGGCGCGCCCACGGGGGCGGGGGCGAGGGGGAGGCCTTCTTTGAAGACCGCCCCCTGGGACAAGCGCGCTCCACTACTCGCACAACAACTGCTCACAAATGGCTGGATCCGCCACGGGGGATCCACGATACATTACATCGATGCAGACATCCACCCGTCCTCAAGAAACCTTCCCCAAGAAACCCAACCCTGAGACCCCAGGACGTCCATTGACTTCCGGTGTGGGAACGTCGCGCTCTCCCAAGCAGAACCATCCAGACCCGAGAAACCCAGGGCACCCTGAGGGCAAGCAGGGTGCTTCTTGGCATGGGCCCTCACTGCAGTGGACCGCGCTCGGCGAATGGAAGACAGACAGCCCCCCATGGAGCGCCGCCCCCTCTCGGCGCGCCGCCGGCAAGCCACGGCGGGTCGCCCCAGACGACCGGCCCCGCAGGGCTTCGGCGAGGGGCGGCGAGGAGCCCCGGAAGAGGTGGGCGCGCCGCGGGGCATCTCGCCCGAGGTCTCTCGGGAATCTGCTGACCCGGGTGAATCCAGACCGGGGTCAGTCGGGCCTTGCAGAATACTGCAAGATCCTGCAGGATCCTGCACCCAAACCGGGGTCAATGCGAAGGATCCTGCAGGAGCCTGCAGGATCCTGCACCCAAGCCCGGGTCACTGCGCCCCATGGCCCTGCAGGATCCTGCAAGATCGGGCGCTCTGACTGACCCCCGTTTGCACTGACCCCCGTCTCCGGAGCGCCGAGTCTCCTTAGACAAGCGCGTTCCACTACTCGCAAAGTCGCTACTCGCAAATGGCCTGGACCCCCCGCGGGGAATGTATGATACATTACACAAAGGCAGACGTATGGTTTTTCGGACGTTTGCGAGCAAGCACTTTGCGAGTAGTGGAACGCGCTCGGGGACTCCTGGCAGCGTGGGGTCCCGGTGCCGAAGAGGTCCAGCGGCGACGCGGATGGAGGGCGGGCCGTCGGCATCTTCGGGGCAGAGCCAGCTGAGACAACTGCGGCCCTCCCGCCCGGCCCAGGTCAGCTCAAAGTCGGCCCCTCGACACCTCCAAGGCTGCATCCCGACCCACGGTTCGAGGCGGATCTTGCCGTGACGCCGAGTAACCTCCTTTCCTGGCCACCCCCCGTCCTGGCCGCGACGACGACGAGGGAAGGAGAAGGGGGGAGCTGGGAGGGAGGGCAGGGGAGGAGGGGGGAGCAGGGAGCGGGGAGGGGAGCGGAACAAAACGGAGCAAGGGAAGAGGAGGATGACAAGACAAGACAAGACAAGACCATCGAATTACGAGCCTGTGGCTCAATGTCTCGGCAGAGGGAAAGCTTTGGGCCACTTGAGTTCACGATTCGGACTGCACCGCTTGAGTTTACAAAACAATTGTCCCTTCCGCAGCCCTTCGGGGAAATGGAACGCATTGAACGATAACCGTCATGCAGGATAACGAAAAGGAATCGGAGGAGGGGAGAGGAGGGATAACATTACAGAACATCGCATCGATTCCAGTGACGAGGAAGGACGATGAGCATGGTTCGGGTTTCAGATTTAACGAGTGTCTGTCCCAAGGGAGCGCCGACCAGCGAGCGCCTGCTTCTGATGCCACGTCGCTCTCTGAAGAAAGAGCACTTACATATCATTGCCTGCCATCGCCGCAATCGAAGGATGTAATCCACCGCCCCCGCTTTGCCGGGGGTGCAAAGGCGTGTGAGATGATTAGCAGTCCCCCTCCCCCTTTCGTCCTCCCCTGCGGTCTGAAATCCGATTGCGTAGAGGGGAAAGCCTGAGAAGGGGGGGGTACAAAGTTCCAAACGCATCCACAAGGGCTCCCAACTTCGCGCTTCGCGCTGCGCGAAGCGCAAAGTGCGAATAACTTCGCGCTCTCGCGCCGCCTCCCAGGGGAGAAGTGGAAGGTGAGGAGGACTTGGAGCCGAACCGCGAAGCGCGAAGCGCGAATAACTTCGCGCCCTCGACGGCGCCCCTGCCTCCACTGGGCCTCCGGAGCCTCCAAGTCCAGCGTCCGTGGCCCCCAGGATGCTCAAGCTGCCGTCCAAGCTGGCCCCAGCTGGGCTCCAACGCCCCGATGAGTCCTCAAAGACGATCCACATAGCCTCGAGACTGCCCAAGAGGCCTCACAGACGCCCTAAGGGGGCTCCAAGAAGATCACCGAGAGGGCCCCAAGAAGAAATGATCAACAGAATCCAAAATCCCTAGGGAACACGTACAATTTGAGCTCTTTCGCACTTCACTTGTCTTAACAGCGTCGAAGACGGCTTAAGAGGCACCCACGATCGCTCCAAGACGACCCAAGAAGACCCCAGGAGGGCCGCAAGACAGACGAAGAGAAAGTCCCGAGACGGCCCAAGAGGCGCGCAAGATGGCCCCAGAGAGTCCCAACGGGGCTTCAAGAGGAGCCCGAGAGGAGCAACTCGAACTGACATCGAAAGCCCTCCGCACCAAGAGGAACCCCGTGACCGCCAGCAGGCGCCCAAGGAAACCCACCAGAGGCCCGACGGGGCCCCCAAGAGGCCCAAACGAGGGTCCCCAGAGGCCCCAGGAAGGCCTCACCCGTGGACATTCGCCCCTCTTCTTGAGGTCGGCGGAATGGCGTAAGTGAAGGGGCCCTGGGACACAGAAATAAATACACATATAGCAGGATTCCACATGTTTTCCCATGTTTTCTGGTTTCTTGTCTTCCCCCCCACTTCCCATAGTTTCCCATATGTTCTGGGGAATCGACGATGTATTGTGTCTGTGTGTGTTTTCCCCTCCTGAGTAAGCCTCTTCGATAATCAAGTCGCTCCAGGGAAAGAAGAAAAGTCCGACGACGGCTGCACAGAAGTGGTTGTCTTGGCCTTCTGCCCCTTTCGTCGGCTGCGCCTGGGTGCGCTCGCGCCACATCTGAAATGATATCCCTCCCACCCATCCCTTCACATTGCGCTGATGTTTCTCTATCCGCGGACGCGCGTCATGGCCGACCTATCGGATAAGGGGAGCAGCGAACGTAGGAGAAGGTGGCGGGTGAGCAGGAGGATGAGCAGGAGGAAAGGGAGGAGGAAAGGAGAAAGATGTGAAGGAAGAGAAGGACGAGGACGAACAGCCGCAGCAGGTGGAGTGAAAAGAGTTGAAGGAGCAGGAGGACCAGGGAAGGCGGTAGAAAAATGAGGGGGGCGACAGCGATGAAAAAAGAAGCTCGGATCAGGAAAAGTGGCCCGCGCTGGGGCGAGAGCCTCATTCTGACCGACGGGAGCACCATTGGGTTAGAGCACCATTGGATTGATGAAGAAACCTAAAAAACATCCCGTGCAACAAGCCATACGCGGAGAGAAAAGTCGATATGCTGGACGGAGCCAGGGAAAAGAGGAGAGTAGCAATTGGAATGTGGAAGTGCGGAGGGAGGAGGGGGTAGGAGGGGGGAGGGAGGGAAGGAGGAGGGAGGAGCAACAACTGAGGAAAAAGGTAACAACAACGGCGCCGCCGAGGCGCTTTTTGTTGGCCTCCTTCCGCGTGCGAGAATATCGCCCGCTCCCTGACTCGAAGTCCAGCTGGCTGCGGATGGCCCTCGATGGCCAGGGACGGTCGTCGATGGCCGCCCAAGACGTCCGATACCCGTCAAAGGCCGCCGATGGCCGCCGATGACGTCGACGACGCCGCCGCCACTGCCGACGACGACGACGACGACGACGACGACGTCGCCCGCACCCTGGCGCGACAACGAAAGCGACCGCGTCGGGGCGTCCTTCCTAGCCTTCTTCCGCTTGCGGCGGCTGGAGGACGACGAGCTGCTGGAGCGGGATGCGGACCGCTTCTCTGGCGACGGCGGCGGCGCCACCGCCTCGAGGGCGGGGCTTTCCTCCCCTCTTCTCTCCGTCCTCCCTCCTGCAAGCCTTCCCTCCTTCTCTTCCTTCCCTCCTCCTCCCTCCACTCCTCCTTCTCTCTCTTCCCTCCTTCCTCCCTTCTTCTCTCCTTCCTCCCTTCTTCTCTCCTTCTACCTCCTCCCCTTCCGCCCTGCTCCTCCGCCTCCCTCGCCTCCTGCAAGCGTTCCAGTATTCTTCGCAACGGAGACACGGTGCGGGCAAGAGGTGAGAGAAAGACAGCCAGACAGCTGCTGAGCAACAGCATTCAACACTTGAGCCAAATAGCAACCAAGAGAATACATGACCTCCCCCGTCACTTGGCAAACGATATTGTAACACATCCTTCCTCCTCCTCCTCCTCCTCCTTCTCCTCCTCCGTCCTCCCTCCGTCCTCCTCCCCCATCTCTCCTGCCGAGCTCAGGAGAAACAAATGCGCGCGGCGACGACGATTGAAACGGATTTCTGGCGCCAGAGGCGGTGAATATCCAGGCGGCCATCTTCGCTAGATCGACGACTGCTTTCCCAGTGGAGCCAATCGAGTGAGCCGATTCGAGCGAGAGGAATCTCGCCACGCGCACGCAAGACAAAGGCAAACCCAAACGAGGTCAATCATACCTACTACACTGTCCGATGAGGTCCTCTGAGAGGACCGTCTGGAAAACGCATCCGACTGAATAGTCGAATTACCAGCATCGCCTGACCAGCTGTGTACTTAAGAGCCCCTGTAGGAGGACCGATCGGTTTCGCCCGCGGCGGGTTCTGGCCGGTCGGTTTTACCCGCAACCGTTTTTCTCCCGTCAAATTTCGCCGAAACCAGATTCGCCCGGTCCGTTTCGCCCGCGGCCGTCCCGTCCGCCACGGCCCGCAGGTTCTAGCGCTGACAGGCCCGCCCGCCCGCTTGAAAAACCCGCCCGCCGCACCCGCACGTGAGGGTCTGCGCGCCGTATGAAGCACAACCCCAACGAAACCCGCTCCTGCCGACCGCCGGCGAAACTCGCCCTGGCGAGATTATCTTGGCGAAACCGACCGCCGGCGAAAGCGACTCACGCCGCTGCTGGGCGGGGCAAAGGGACAGCTCACCTCCATGTCAAAGCCGCCGAACCAAGAGAGCGCTGACGGAGCGAAACATTCGGCTGAAGGAACTAGGGTGGGAAGCGCTCGCAGCCATTATGTCGTGTCAAGTATGCCCTGGGCGTGTAACATTTTCAACTCGGCATCTTGAGATTATTGCTGTTGGCGCCTTTAGGTCTCTACCAGAAAGAATAAGCCGGAGACGTGTGGAACAAAAACCAACGTTAGCTATCTTTAGCGTGTTCGGGTCTGTTGTTCTCCATCGTCGGAGCACGCCGCGGAAACGCCGCGGGTGTCCATGCCTGTTTTCTGCCAGCGCCAGACCCGAGTTCGAGAATTGTGTCCCCAACCATCCTGTGGTGTTGGGTCCTCGTTTTGAAGTGACGGCGCCGCGCGTCTCGTTCTCTCTCTCTCTCTCTCCCGCCTGTTTCTGCCCTCAGCAAGTCCACTACGGCACACCCCTGACGCGCTTCGATGTTGTTACAACCGACCGCCAAACGATCCATTGTCCCAACCATCCTGTCGTGTTGGGTCCTCGTTTTGAAGTCAGTGCCCCGCTTCTCCTTCCCTGTTCCTCTACCTCCTCCCTCTTCTTATCCCTGCCTGCCCTCCACACCAGACAACCATGTCGGCACACCCCTCACACGTTTCGTGGCCCCAGAGGGAGCGTCACCGAACGTCCCCGTCGTCCCAGTGGCTGCGTTCGCATGCGCCCGCCGCACCCACTTCCGCACACCCGTTACACGTTTCGTGGCCCCAGAGAGAGCATCACCGAAGGACCCAGCGGCAGTTCTAGCATGCGCCCCCCGCGCCCATTACGGCACACCCTCTCTCGTTTTGTGGCCACATGGGAAGCTCTACCGAAGGCCACAGCCGCGGTTCTCGCATGCATCCCCCGCGCCCATTACGGCACACCCTCACACGCTACGTGGCCCCATGGGGAGCTCCACCGAAAGTCCCAATGGCGGTTGTCGCATGCGTCCATAGATCGAATTTCGGCACAGCCCTCGCACGTTTCGCACACCGGAGGCCACAGCTGCGGTTCGCGCACGCGCCCCCCGCGCCAATTACGGCAAACCCTCACACGCTTCGTAGCTCAATAGGGAGCTCCACCAAGGGTCCCAGTCGCGGTTCTCGCATGCGTGCCCGCACATATTTCGGCACACACCTCACAAACTTCGTGGCCCCATAAAAAGCCCCAGCGAAGGCTCCCTTGGCGGTTCTCGCATGCGACCCCCGCACTCAATTCGGCACACCCATCACACGATTCATGGCCCCATGGGGAGCTCCACCGAAGGCCCCAGCTGCGGTTCTCGCATGCGCCCCCCCACGCCCATTACTAATTACGGCACACCCTCACACGCTCCGTGGCCCCATGAAACACTCCACCGAAGGCCCCAGTGGTGGTTCTCGCATGCATCCCCCGCGCCCATTACGGCACACGCCTCACATGCTTTGTGGCCCATTGGGAGCTCCACCGAAGGCTAGAGCGGCGGCGTTCGCATGCGCACACCGCACCGATTTCGGCACACCCTTCACACGTTTCGTGGTCCCAGAGGGAGCTCCACCGAAGGCCCACAGGCGGTTCTCGCATGCGCCCGTCCTGCCTTTTTCGGCACACCTCACACGTTTTGTGGCCTCCTGGGGAGCGCCACAAGGCTACAGCGGTTGCGTTCGCATGCGTCCGCCGCACAAATCACAGTTGTCGAGGCCCCACAGGGAGTGCCACTGAAGGCTCCAGTGGCGGTGTTCGCATGCGCCCGCCCCATCCAAGGCGGTGCATCCCTCACACGTTTCGCGGCCCCATGGGGAGCGCCGCCGAAGGCCCCAGTGGCGGTTCTCGCATGCGCCCGCCCCACCCATGTCGGCATACCCCTCACACGCTTCGTGGCCCCATAGGGCATCGAAGACCCCAGTGGCTGCGCTCGCATACGCCCCCCGCGCCTTTTTCGGCACATTCATCACACGTGTCGTAGCCCCATAGGGAGCTCCACCGTACTCACAACTGCATGTGGTTGAGCCCGTCGCCAGACAAAGGCTCCCACCGAACGCCAAAAGATCCAGTCAATCTCATCTGCCATGCGATTCAAAGAGACGCCGAGCCAATCAGGAACACCCCAAGAGCCGGTGCAATAAGCAAACTCATGAAGCGGACCGGGGCCTGAGAGAGAGAGAGACAGAGCATTGGATTTGGGTGGTCTTGCCTTTTTGGCTTTCCGACTCTCCAAGACAGCCCAAGAGGCCACCAAGACCACCCCAAATTATCCCAAAAGGCCTCAGACGGCCTAGGAGCGCCCGAAGACGGCCCAAGAGGCGCCCAAGACGGCCCAAGAAGGCCCCAAGACGGGAGGCCCCAAGAGGCTCCCGGGAGGCGCCAAGAGGTACCCACGAGGCCCCAATAGGACCCCAAGAGGCCCCAAAGAAGCCAAAACGACGCCCCAAGGGGGCCCAAAACGGCCCACATGAGGCTTCAAACATGCCTCAAGGCGGCCCCCGAGGGGCTTCCCACGAGATCCCAACGAACATCGAATAGGCTTCATACCCACAATGCAGGCACGGTCGCGGGTTGGGCCGAAGGCCATCGCAGCTGGTGGTATGGTCTTCGGTGGATTGCCCCATGGGGCCACGAAGTGCGCGAAGGGCATGCCGAAATGGGGTGGGGGGGTGGGGGCGCGCATGCGGACCGTGCCGTTGGGGTTTTCGGCGGAGCCCCCTACAGGGTCACGAGACGCGTGAGAGCTGTGCCGAAACGAGCGTGACGCCCGAATGCGAACGCTTCCTCTGGGGCATTCGGTGAAGCCCTTTCTGGGGCCATATGAGGGGTGTGTCGAAACAGGCGTGACGCCCACATGCGAATGCTCCCTCTGGGGCCTTCGGTGGAGCTCCTTATGGCCTTATGGGGCCACGACACGCGTGAGAGCTGTGCCGAAACGGGCGTGCCGCCAATATGCGAACGCTCCCTCTGGGGCCGTCGGTGGAGCTCCCTATGGGCAACGAGTGAGGGGTGTGCCAAAACGGGCGTGACGCCCACCTGCGAATGCTCCCTCTGGGGCCTTCGGTGAGCCTCCCTATGGGGCCTCGAAGTGTTTGAGGGGTGCCTCGAAACGGGCATGCCGCCGACATGCGAACGCTCCCCCTGGGGCCTTCGGTGGAGCCCACGTATGGGGCCACGAAACGCGTGACAGGTGTGCCGAAACGAGCGCGAGGCCCACATGTGAACGCTCCCTCTGGGGCCGCTGGTGAAGCTCCCTGTTGGGACACGAAACTTGTGAGGGGTGTGCCGACATGTTCAGCATGCGGATGGCAGAGGCAGGAGGGAGATGCTTGTTAGCGGTTCAGCCTCTCCAAATCCCAAAACAGAAAACGCTAAAGCTAAAGAAACCGAGGGCACCTTTACGATGAACCAAAGCCATTCGGTTGTTCTGACCCTGCGTAAGTGAATGACATTGTCGGAAGCACGTCGCAGGAACAGAACAGATGATAAAGAACTTCATGTGACCCCTTGTAATAAGAACGCTGCAACTCGCAGTAAAGACCGAAGCGTCTTATTGGCTGGAAGCGTCCACTGTCGAGGACACAATCTGCCACATTATCACCGTAATATCTCGCAGAGCCACGCTGTAAAGATAAGCACGAAGCTATTACAACCGTTCTCGGCATCAATAAACCTGTCGTAAATTCTACAACTTGTGCGTCCATTCGTACAACCACCTGGACCACTACATATCACTGTAAATATGCTTCAACTCATCTGCAGCAGCATTGTCATACATTAGACTCCACACTATGACCCTGCGCAAACCCACCGCAACACACGGACACAACTGATAAACAAAGTGCCACAAGCACAACCACCAACACAACTCTCTGCCCCTCTGTATACCTTGTCTTCGCATCCGTCCTCTCTCTCGTTCTATACCTTCCATCTCACTTACTCTCTCCAACCCTCTCTCTCTCTCTCGCGCTCTCGCGCTCTCTCTCTCTCTCACTCTCTCTCCCTCTATATATATATATATATATATACTAGAACCACGCGCGCGCTTCGCGCGCGCTTAGGTTCTAGCTAGGAGGCGAGCTTGAGTCAACGAAAGTCGCAGGGAAGGGGGCAGGGGGAAGAAGGCCAGAGAGCGCTGAAGGATACAAATACTGGAACCCTCTTGTGATTTTGTGGGGGGCCTCGTCCGGCCGCTCGCTGGGAGTTTGACGTAGCTTCTCGGGAGCCTCTGAACCTGTCGGGGGCCTCCTGGAAGCAGGTTCGAAGCATTTTGGGAGCCGATTTGGGGCTTCTCGGGGCCTCCTTTGGGCCTCTTGGGGGTCTCCTGGGGCCTCTTGAGGGGCCTCCTTGGGGCCTCCTGGCGGCCTCTTGGGGCGGAAGGCTCGAGCTTGCGGTTCGTGGTCCCCCTCTGGGCCCCCTCTTGGGCCCGTCTTGGGGCCCTCTTGGGCCATCTTGGGCGCCTCTTGGGCCGTCTTGGGGCCCTCTTGGGCTGTCCTGGGGCCCTCTTGGAAGCTTCTTGGGCCGTCTTGGGGCGGTCTTGGAGGCCTCTTGGGCCGTCTTGGACGCGGTGAAAGCCCAAGATGCGAACATGCGAAAAATATACGTTTTCCCATAGGAATGGCACGATTTTTGTTTCTTGGACCTCTCTTGGGGTGCCTCTCGGAACGTCTTGGGGTGCTTTTGGGAGCCTTGTGGCGCCTCTTGGCGGCATTTTGGCGCCTCCTGGAGCCTCTTGGGCCGGAAGCTCGGAATTCGAGGTTGGCTTTCTCCGTCTGGGACCCCTCTCGAACTCGTCTTGGGGCTCTCTTGGGCCGTCTTGGGGCCGTCCTGAGCCACTCGTGCGCAGCCTTGGAGCGCTCCTGGAGGCCTCCTAGGCCGTCTTGGAGGCCTCTTGGGCCGTCTTGGACGCGGTGAAAGCCCAAGATGCGAACATGCGAAAAATATACGTTTTCCCATAGGAATGGCACGATTTTTGCTTCTTGGGCCTCTCTTGGGCTGCCTCTCGGAGCGTCTTGGAGGCTTCTGGGACCGTCTTGGTGTCATGACAGGCGTCTTGGAAGGCATCTGGAGCCATCGGAGCGCGTTCCGAAGCCGCCTGCGAACGATCTTGGACGGCGTCCGGCGGTCCGACGAGCCTCCGGGCCCCCCGGGGCCCACATTTGTGGTCGAGGTCCCGGCCCCGGGCCCCCGGACCCGGTGCGCCGGTATATGTGTATATATATATATATATATATATATATATATATGCATCGTTCCCTCTCGATCTGATCCACACTCATGGCCCTGCCTTTGCGAGTGTCCTTGCCCTTGCTCCTGTTATGGACAGGCGATTGCGGCACAACCTGCCAGGGCTCCCCCGACAACCAGAGCACCCGAGGCAGAAGCGTCCTTTTGGTCAAGCGAGGCTCCTATCCCGCGGCACCTCATGGCGCCTCCGTGCGCGCGCGCGCGATCCCGCGGCACGACGGCAAAAAAGAGCGGGAGCAGCAGAATGGGCCGCTCTGCGCTGTGGACCGCCAGCGTCGGGCCCCCGGCCCGCTCTCCGGCGAGGGGCCTCCGGCCCCCCCCCCCGCCGCGCTCCGCGCCCTCCGCTCCTCCCCAACCTCGGGGGCGGCCACGAGGGGGGCGTCCAAGACGGGGGGGGGCGCAGCTCGTGGCCTGCGGCACGTGCGCGGCCCAAGGAGGGGGGCCAGGGACGTCACGACATGAGAAAGGGGGGCGCCATGAAACCTGGGGAAAGATCATGGCCCACGCCATGATGTGCACCCCCCCGTAGTCATCCCCCCGCCTCTTTGCCGGCCCCCGACCACCTCCGACGCCCTCCTCTCAGGGAAAAGAAGGGAACCGTGGGCGCCGAGCTGTTCCGCCACCGGGGACGCCCGTCCCAGGGCCCGCCAGGGGCGGCGGGAAAGCCTGCACCCCTGCGGTGGCACGCCGGGGCATACCACCCCCCGGGTCGCTGGGGGACGGGCGTTCCCGACGGCGGAACATGTGATTGTATAGTTGCCCTTAGGTCGGGCGTACCCCCCTACAGGCGGATTTTGGGCGACAAATCGAAAATGGTCAGAAGACACGCAAAGAATGCCCAAAAATAGTCAACAGATCGTCCCCTGACTATTTTTTTGAATATTCCTCCTGTAGAGGGACACGCCCGACCCAAAGTTACACTTCTCTTTGCGCTGCCTTCTCCTCCTCACATTGCATGGTCGGTCCCTGTCGCTCGACTGCTGTCGCTCTCTCGAGCGGCAAAGGCGAGGTGGGCAGACGGGAGGCCGCGCGGACGGCGCACCGGCTGTGCCCAGAGATTCGCTATAGAACCCGCGGATCCGATCCGGACGGGAGCTGGCTGCGAGGACGCCCAGCTATCTAGCGCAAGGTCGGCGGCGCATCAACGAGAAAGAAAAAGTTCATGAAACCAAGTGGGTGTGACAAGAGAAGGAATGCGGCAGCCCGCCTGCAGCCGAGGCGCCGGCCTAACCCCCGCAGCCCGCGGCGAGGCTCCGCACGGGCCCCCTGCGCTCACGCTGCCAAAGGCTCCATCGAGCGCAAGGCCTTGGCGTGGACACGGCTGGTCTTCTCCAGCGCGGCCTCCACCCGGCAGCTGACGAACGAGGACACGGCCGGGACACCCTGGGCGCTGCCGGACTCCTCGTCGCCCCGGCTCTCGCGCAGCCGGTCGGCCAGCCGCCTGATCAGCCGAACGTCCTCGCGGCAGAGCCGGGCAAACTCCGGAGAGCCCGCGGCGCCCAGCCCCGCCTCGACCCTCTGAGCGAGCGTGGCCAGCACCGAGGCGGCGGTGTACACCTCCCGCTCCTGGCAGGAGTCGAGGTTCAGCAGCACGGCCTCCACCAGGGCGAAGCCGAAGGCCGAGACTCGGGGCCAGACGGCGAGCGGCGAGAACATGATGAAGTGCGCCAGGAGGGCCACGACGTCCCTGCCCTCGCTCCCGCCGAGCTGGAGGTTCGGCGCGACCTCAGGGGGACGTAAGACCTGGGTACAGGGGACTCGGAAATCCCCGACGAGGTCGTCAAAAAAATGACGAGGCCGAGCCTGCATTTTGACGAGGCCTCCCGCTGCAGACATCCCACGAAACTCCTCCTCGTCAAAATCCGAGGCGCGGTCGTCAAAAAACGATGGCGAACCCGAGTCCTGGCAAACCCGGGTCTTACGCTCCCCCGACGACCGCCTCGTCGACCAGCCCCTGGATGGCCGGCGCCCGCGGCGGCAGCAGGAAGCTCAGCAGGCGCCCCTGGATGAGGTCGGCCGGCAGGCGCCCGAGCGAGTGCCCCGGCAGCGAGTCGCGCCCGCGCCCCTCCCGGGCCGCCAGGAGGAGCAGCCGGGCGCAGGGCCAGCACAGGTCGTGCCACCGCAGCAGCCTGGCCAGCCAGGCCGTGAGCGCCGTGACCAGCGGGGGGCTGCTCGAGAGCAGCGGCGACACGGCGTCCAGGTAGCCAGGAAGCACGTTGTCGCCGCTGCGCACGGCGAGGCCCCTGGCGTGCCTGCTGGTGTGGATCACCTGCAGGTACGAGTTCAGCATCAGCGCCGCGAGCCTCGCGTGGAACCAGGCCGGAGCCTCAGCCAGGAGGCCCGGGTCGAGCGGCAGGATGCGGAAGGCATTCTCTCTGCTGATCCGGTTCAGCATGCCGCGCACAGTGCGGTCAAAATCTTCGAAGTCTCTGGGAACCGCTCTGTCCGCTGTGAGCAGCCGCCTCCACTTGAGCTCCCAATGCGACTGGGGTGGCGCACCTCCTCCTCGCACCTGCAGCTCCAACATCCGCCGACCCCTCCCGGCGACGGAAGGCTCTTCGAAACTGATCGCACGCATACGCTGACCAAAACGGCTAATCGCAAGAAAGCTCAATCAGGAAAGGTCGAGCCCAAATGGCTGACAAAGCGACGCGGCGAATGTCATCGGCGAGCGAAGAAGGAACTGAGAGCTCTCCCCCAAATGCGAACCGGTCCCGCGGCCGAGCTTCGAGCTTGACTGCAAACTCTGTGGTGGTCTCAAGGGCGATGGGATGAAGGAGGAAGGTCTGCAAGAATTGATATAAACACCTTTTATCGTTCAGTTTGACGGACAAGGGCCTCGTGGCGCATCCTCCCAAAAATCAGCACATGACCTTCTCTTTACGGACATGTAAGAAGAGGGAAACATATTGTCCTGGCGAAGGCCCCAGCCGTTTGCAGTTGCAAGCACCATCCTTGTGCGTATCGCCTTTGGTAGATCTCCCGATGAGGCCAAGAAGCGCGTAAGGGTGTGCCGAATTGGGGCGGGGCAGTCATGCAGGTGCTGCCACTAGGGCTTTAGATAGAGCCACCTATGGGGCCGCGAAGCGCGTGAGGGGGGGGGGGGCGCAATGGAGCGGGGCTGCCATGCGGGCGCTGTCACTGAGGCATCAGGTGGAACTACCCATGGGACCACGAACCGTGGCATGCGGGCACTGTCACTGGGGCCTTCGGTGGAGCTACCTATGGGGCCACGAAGCGTGTGAGGGGTGGGCGGACATGGGTGGGGCGGCCGCATATGTGGTACAACACTTGGGCCTTCGGTGGAGCTCCCTACAGGGGCCACGAAACGTTTGAGGGGTGGGCCGAAATGTGCGGGGAGGCCGCATGGGATACACCTCCCAAGGGCCTTGGGTGGCGCTCCCTTATGGGGAAACGAAAGCTGCGAGGGGAGCGCCAAAATGGGTGGGGCGGCTGCAAGGGGTACACCCCCCCGGGCCTTCGGTGGAGCTCCCTGTAGTTGCACGAAGCGTGTGAGGGGTGTGCCGAAATAGGTGGGGCGGCCGCATGTGGTACACCCACCTGGGGCCTTCGGATGGAGCTCCTATGGTGGCACGAAGCGTGTGAGGAGTGTGCCAAAATGCGTGAGGCCGCATGTGGTACACCCCTCGTGGGCCCTCGGTGGAGCTCCCTAGGGAGCCACAAAGCATGTGAAGGGTGTGCCGAAATGGGTGGGGGGGCCGCATGTGGTACAACCCCCTGGATCCTTAGGTAGAGCTCCCTATTCTGCTACGAAGCGTGTGAAGGGTGTGCCGAAATGGGTGGGGCGGCCGCATGCTACTCCTCCTCCTTCCCCTCCTCTTCCTCCTCCTCCTCCTCCTCCTCCTCCTCCTCCTCCTCCTCCTCCTCCTCCTCCCTATGTGTCCTCCCTCTCCTCCGCTTCTTATTTCTCCCCCGCGTCTTCACCAATAAGTTTCCAGAACGGCTGGGGGAACACATGGTCCGATAGCTTGGCAAAGCTCGGGCCGAAACGTTCGGCCACATGGGCGATTCCAAAAGACGGGGGGCGGCGGTGATTCGCCGTAGACGTCCTCGATAATCCAAAAAAGGGGCCTGAAATCGCTCTCGAGCGCCCCAAGAGCGCCCCCAGAGGGCCCAAACAGAATTCCAAGCAAGTACTCAACAGTGTCATGCCAGGAACTTTCGATCTGACACTGCTGCGGGCTGTTTCGGAAGCCCCCTTTATGGGGCCCTCTTAACCCTTTGAGAACCTCTTAGTGCCCTTTGAGGCCCCTCTTTCAGCAGTCTGGGTCCCTGAGAGATCCCAGAGAGAGCTCCAAGAAGCCTCCAAGAGAGCCCAGAGAGAGCTCCAAGAGGGTCCCCAGAAGGTCCCAACAGTATCATACCGAGGCACGGTGGCGAGATGGGCCGTGGGCCACGTAATCCTCTTGGCCCCAAGAGGGCCCCCATAGGACTCCCACAAAAATTCTCCAAAAGACGATCAGGCTTGACTCCCGGATGGTCAGGGATGGCGCTGCATTGCCGCCGAGACGATCCAAAATGCCTGCAAAAACGGCGACGATGACCCGTCTGACCGAAGATGGCCCCAAGATACCTCCAAGACGGTCCGGATGGCGGCACGAGGCCGCCATGAAGCCTAAGGAGGCTCCCAAGCCCCGAAAAGGCTTCCAAGAGGTCTCTCGTCCTCCTCCTCCTCCTCCTCCTCCTCCTCCTCCTCCTCCTCCTCCTCCTCATCGTCCTCCTCCTCCTCCTCCTCCTCCTCCTCCTCCTCCTCCTCCTCCTCCCTGTTGACCTCCTCGTTCTCCTCCTCCTCCGCCTGCTCCTCTTCCTCCGGCTCCTGCTCCTCATCCTCTTCATCCTCCTCCCTCTCCTGATTCCCCCCCTCTTCTGCGAAAGCACACAGGCAGAAAGCTTGGCCAAACTGTGCTACTCGTCATACGTTTCGTGGGAACCTCATGGGGCTTCACTGAAACTCCTCGGGGTCTGCTCCCAACATTCTCGAACAACTGTGGTTGTCAGCTTCATCATAGAGATCTTCGTCAGGGTCGGCAGCACCGGCCGAAAGGCCTTCATAACACATGAAGGCGATCATGAACTTATGCGAGGCCCGAGTCCAATTGCCTGACATACTATGGCTGCCAAGTTACCTCCGCGCATGCCAGTAAGACCGTCACATCCAATCATCTCCAGGGTGCTCTGGGTCTCCAATCGTCGCCACTCGGCTGGTCAATGATGGCACCAACAAGGAGAATTGCCAGCAAGCTGAACGCACAGTTCTATGCACGCGCATGGGGGAGAGGGGAGCGAGGAGGGGGAGAAGGAGGAGGAGGAGGAGAACGTAAGGAAAGATGAGGGGAGCAGGAGGTGGAAGCAAGAGAAGGATGCAGCCAAAAAGCAGGCTCAAGCCAAACAATTCGCTTTGCAACTGTGGTGGCGCAGATACAGTGTGAAGGCGGTCTCTCGCGCCACTATCCCGCCAATGCCATAACCTCGAGTGAGGAGAAAAGGGAGGAGAGAGGAGGGATGAGGAAAAGAAGGATACAAATGAAGACATTCGTCACACTGCACAGCAATGATCGCCACGCAATGTCTGTGGAAAGAGAACGAAAAGAAGCCCAAACAGTCGGGGCCGTGAAAATGCAACGCCATGAACAAATCACGACCAAAAACCCTCGACCCCATCTCTGCAAATCTTGAGCCGGATCGATCGGATCCGAGAGGGTCCTGGGGTCCGAAACGAAGGAAACCACACCGTCATCACAGAAGGCACCTAAACACCACCACCACAACCATGCCTGCCCACGGTCATCCTGTGCCCTAGAATGTGTATACGTAGGCCCTCCTCGTGCGGCGGTGTCCAAGAGCCGCATGCTCAGAAGCCGGGCGAAAAATCTCGGAGAAGTTCTTCACGGTGCCTGGATGTTCAAGGGGGATCACAGGTACTGAACCTCTCCTGGGGTGAATCCAGAATTCGAGAAAAACAGCCGTACCGACGAGGGCTCTCCAGGACGAGCAGCAGCATCGATCTCTAGTCTCTCCCTCTGAACGTCGCGGAGGGCGCCAACAAACAGCGGCGGCGGCAGGCGGCGTGTCTGTGGGGTGGCCCGGAGGTTGGCTGGCTTCACGCTGACGACCTCGCTGGGGGACAGCTCCACCATGAAACGCTCCTGCCGATGGGGGCCAGCCGCCAGACATGAGAAGGAACGGCAACGAGACCGAGAAGAGTGGACAGCGAGGCAGATCCTCCTCGTCCCCCCTCCTCCATGCTCTCGTCCTCTTCCTCTCCCTGCGTTCTGACCGGGTGGCGTGCCGACGAGTGCAGGGTGTTGGTATCGGCCGACTTCCTCCTCTGACTTCCTTCTCCCCCCCCCCTCCCTCCGCCGGCGACCCCAAAGGGTGTGGTTTGCAAAGTGTGTGGTTTGTAACCTGCACCCTGGGGGGCGGGCGAGGACCTCGACAGAGTTTTCCCCCGCGCCCCGAGGAGACCCGACGTGGGCAACGTGGTGCCCCCCGAAGCCCAAACGACGCAGATCACAAGCCACACCCCTGTGTAATTACGCCATTTGTAGTCGCCGACTCGCTCCTACTCCCCCCCACACCGCCCGTGGCTGGCACTGGGTCCTTGTCGGCGACAAACTCCGAGATCGCGCCCTCCCGGCCGTTCAGCTTTGAGCCGCTCTCAGAGGTGAGGCCGAAGATCTCCACGCGATCGCCGACCTCTGACTGGCGCCGTCGTCATCGTCGTCGTCATCATCGTATTCGTCGTCATTGCCGTCATCACCATCATCGCCATCATTATTCCTTCTCGTCGATTTTCTCATTATTGTCCTGATGCCATCCTCACTCTTCATTGTCGCCCTCCTCCGCATCATCTCAATCATCTCTGACATTTCATGTGCTGATATATTCAACATGTATACTGCTACTTGTCCCCTCAATATCGTCATCATTATCCCGTCGCTCGTCACCCCTTGCATTGATCACCATTGGCAATAAGTACCGCGCTCCTACTTGTTATTATCACCCGTATAATAATGCTTAGGTCCCCCACCATGAAAAATCACCCATGATCGCATTGAATATCATACTAATACTTGCCATCGGGGCCATTCCTCCTCGTCAAGATCGTTATCATCACCATTTCAATCACCATCGCCATCACCATCTGTCAGTGTGATTGTCACCTGCATTGGATGTGGCGAACAATTATCCGGGCGAAAGACCCGAACATACGCAGCTGCAAGTAACGCAATTGTGAGTATCGTCTTCGGTGGAACTCCCAATAGGAGCCACGAAACGTGTGAGGGGCGTGCCAAAATTGGTGTGGGGCACGCACGTAGGCAAAGTGAGCACTGCCACTGGGGCGTTCGGTGGGGCCCCAGATCAGATGGGGGCCACGCGGGCGGGCGCGCGGGCGGGCAAATGCGCGGGCGGGCGACTATGGGAACGGGCGGGCGGGCGGGCAGGCGGGCGCGCGCTCGCTGGCGGGCAGGCGGACCCGCGCGACCGGGAGGGCAGGCGGGCGCCTGTGTTTGTGTGCGCGTGGACGAGCAAGCGGGCAATCATTCCACCCACTGGCGTCGTTCCTCCCCACCCGTCTCTTAGCTGAGGCGTTGGGCACAAGATGAACGTGTTGCTGCCCCCCGCCAACCTTTAGGGCGAAGCGTGAGACAACAGCAAATATCCCCACTTCCTGGATGAAGAGTTTCTTGTAGTATAGGAATGTCGCACATGCCGAAGCCCGAACTGTGCGTCGATGGAACGTTACATCTCTATGCGCGGACAATAACGCGCATAATTTTCGTTTCTGGTGTTCGTCCCCCCCCCCGCGATCCAAGCATTAGGTCCGGTCTGGGTGAATCCAAACAGCTCAGCGGTGCAACATTTTGCCGGGCGCCCGTGCGTGAGGGGGGGCACAGGCTTGTCGCAACGTGCCCAATACTAAGATCGGGGAAAGGTGTGGGGGGAGGAGCGAACCACTGTAGGTGCCAATGCGCTGCAACAGTGGTGCAGCAACTTGTCCTGTACACGGGCGCGGGGTCAGGGCACGATTGCAACGCAATGCTACGGCCATGCGCTGCTACGAAATGCGATGCGAAGCTCGGCAATAATATTCGGCATGAACTGCCCCCCCACACACACACGGCTCCTGAGAACCGTGCGTCCTCTTACAATCTGGTAGACCAAAACGAACGCGCCAATGAAAGACCATGCGGCAAGGGTGCATCACCATCCCCTTGCGCGGACACGAAACGGAAGGCGACGACAAGAACAACAACGACGACAAACGCAACGACGACGAATACGATGACAACGACGAGATGCTCGCAAGGGTGTTCCTGAGGGGATCCTGAAAGTGGTGGGTAAACAAATTCCAAGAGGTTCCTAACAAAATACCTGAGAGACTCCTGCGAAGCTCTTGGGAGGCTCAAGTGAGAGAAAGAGAGAGAGAGAGAGAAAGAAAGAAAGGAAGGAAGAAAGAGAAGCAAAGAGAGAGAGAGAGAGAGAGTCTTGTGAGACTCTTGAAGGTGCGGAAAAATCCCCATGGCCCCCCGATCGGCCCCTGGGAACGTCGCCAAAAAGCAACGCGAAGCCCGAGACACCCTGAGAAACTCCTGAGAGGTCTATGGGAGGCTCCTGAGTACCTGCAACGCTCGTGGGGAGCTTCTGCTCCTGACAGGCTCGTGAGGGCGCCCCGCATGGCCGCATTCCGCCTCCGTCGTCTGCTTTCGGCGACCGCGCACCTCTTCCGAACCTTGCCCCTCGCCGACCCGACGGTCGGCCCCGACTGATGGTCCTGACCGCCCAGTTCACCCTCCGAATCAAAGACTTTGTCTGAAAACAATACGGAACTCAATTCAATCGCAGATTCGCTACCGACTCGGAGACTCGGCGGTGGACAAACCTCCCTTTAGTAAACCTCCCTTTAGTGAAGACGGCCTCGGACCGAAACCGACGGACCTGGACACGCAAAAATGACGGCCGCAACAACTGCCTCTCGCCGACCGAAAACGGCCAATTCCTGAATCGACGTGTCGGGGTAAGAGGTCTGTCCACCCCCGAGAGACGCTCCGTTGTCAGCTTCGGAGGGGGGATCCGGCGCGCGCGGGTGGCTCCTGGGCCGTGGGCCCCACGGCCCGCGAGCTCGGGGCTCTCGAATCCAGGGCCCACAACCTTTCGGGTGCTTCGGTCAAGGGCCCGCGACTCTGTGGACCTTCATCCAAGGGCGCGCGACCTCCTGGAGCGCGCTGTCACGGCCCGACCAAACATTTTCCCCAGGGTCAAGGGCTGACTCTAGGGCCCTCCAGCAAAGCCAGCGGGAGCGCGCCGACATGGGCGCGGGAGACGCGTGCGAGAAACGCCACTGGGGCCTTCTGTAGACCTCCCTGTGGGGCCACGAAACGCGCGAGACGTGTGCCGCAATGGGCGCGGGGGGCGCATGCAAAAACTGCCGGTGGGACCCTCATAGAAAAAGCATCTGGGGCGAGCTGTTAGATGCCCCCGTCGAGGGGAGGCCTTCAGGGGCGCCTCCGCGGCATCCGCGGGCGGCTGGAGGTTGGCGCCCTTCGCGAACACGACCTCGCGCGAGAGGAGCGAAGGAGTGGCCGCATCGGGCCTATGCTCCAGCGCCTGCTGCTTGCCTTGGCCCTCCTAGCCCTGCTCCATCTGCTCATGCTCCTGCCACTGCTCGTGATCCTTGTCCTGCCCTATTATCATCCTCGTATTCCCTGACTCCCTTCCCCCATCCCTCTCCCTGCTCCTGTTTCAGCTTCGACGCCGTAGGACAAACCTACGCCAGGCCAACCCACGACTTCCGAGGCACGTACCTCGGAAACCAACGACTCTCCCTACTGTCTGATAAAACGAACGGGGAATATGGACAGCAATCGATTGCCATCAAGTCCGCTGCGAATGATGGCACTGCTGCCTTACGACCCCTGCAATGACGGCTGCTGGAGGGGGCTAATAGCACAATGGATTTCTAAACCGCACGCTGATGCAAACCAATCATCGGACCTTTTTGGCAACCTTTCGCCTGACATATCCTCTCCATTGATAACCCTGAAGCTTGAACGGAGGCAGGGGTGGCTGGTTTTCAAAATGGGGTTCTTGGCTTAACGCCGCGCACATCCAACTGAAAGGGTGGATACCAGTTTCAAGGATGCTGGTGGGGTCGTTTTGGAAACTGGGTTCTCGCCCTAGCGCCGCGCGCATTCGACGCACAATTTACAGCAGCTTCCAGGACGGAGGGGAGATGCTTTCAAAATGGTTGTTGTTCGTCTTCGCGCCGCTCACGGTCGCCTTGAAAGTCTGCACCGGCTTCAAGGACGAAGGGGGGTCTTTCAAAAATCAGCTCTTGCCGACGCGTCAAGCACGTTCGTCTCAAAATCGGGGATGGACAGACCTCCCTTTGGTAAAACGTGGTTTAGTGAAAACGACCTGAGGCCCAAACCTGGCGGGCGCAAACCTGGAAAATAGCGGCCACGGCGCCCCCTCGAGAACCGAAAACGGACAATTCACTAATCGACGTGTCACTGTTGGGGGTTCTGTCCACCCCCGACAAAAGTTTGCAACAGCTTTTCAAGGGTGGAGGGGGGTCAGAGCAGCAGCTTCGAGGATGGGGGGCGGATCCCTCTCAAAATGGGGTTCTCGCAGCAGCGCCGCCGCCCCCCATTCGCCTTCGAAAGCTGCAGCGGCTTCCAGTGATGGAGGGGGTCTTTTTCAAGACGAGGCCATCTCTTGAACGCCACGCGCATGTGTCTCGTAGTCTTGCAACAATTACAAACATGGAAGGCGGCTTCTTTTCGAAAATTGGGCGTTGACTTGGCACTTTGCAAATGCCACAATAAGAAAGCCAAGCACACGTATCAGCTGCACGGAAGGGGGGCGGCTCCGCTTCAAAAAAAGGCTTCCGCGTGCGATCTCCTACTTGTCCATGCATGACCTCGCGCCCACATGTTCGTCTTCACCGGAGTCTGGCAGCAGAGGAGCGACAACGAGGAATTCGCCTGCCCAACGGGCCAGAGGCATCTCCGGTAACAGGTTAACAGTATTTCTAGTTCGCGCGCGCGTGGCGGCCCCTGGGGAGCCCTGGACGATAAGTACCCCGGCCGATGCCCGGGCGATGCCCAGCTGACTCCCCCAGGGCTCTCCAGGACCCCACCAAGAGGGCGCTGGGACGCCCCCTACACTTTCCCAAGAGGCCCCGAGTCTCCGCAAGATCGTTCCAAGACTCACAAGATGGTCTCCAAATGGCCCCAGAGGCCGCGAAAAAGCCCCAAGAACCCCAAAAGGCTCTCCAAGAGGGCCCCAACACGCAAAAATCGCCCCATTCCCTTGCAGAAAACCTATATTTCTTCAGCGACCAGAACTGCCCCAGAAGCCTTCAACATCGCTCCCAGACGGCCCAGCATGCCCCCAAGATGGGCCCAAGAGAACCCAAGAGGGCCCCAAGACGCCCAAGAGGGCACAAAAACGGCCCCAAAAGGGGGCCCAAAAGGGGACCAGGAATCGAAAAAGTCCAGCCTTCAGCCCCAAGGGCCCTCCAGAAGGCCCCAAGAGGCCCCCAGGAGGCCCCAAGGGGTTCCCAAGGAGCCCCCAAGAGGCAGGCACCTCAAGAAGCCCCAAGAATCCACCAAGAGGGCCCGAGAGGCCCCAACACGGCCCCCAACCTCCCAGAGGCCCCCGAGAGACCAACCACGAAAGCTCAACCAACATCCATGAGGCCTCCGACCCAGCACCCAGGCACCGTGGCGGGATGTGCCGAATGCCAAGAGATAATCAAAAAACCCACGCAGAAGCACCGCATTGACAACGATCACTCGGGCAATTGGCAGCGCTCCACATGGCACTCGTCGAACGATCGGTCCGTAACACCGACGATGGCTTCAAGACGGCCCACGACGCGCAACAACAAAAGACGAAGAAGACACCAAAAGGCCTCCCAAAAGAGCCCCAAGAAACACATCCCGACAACCGAGAGCGGCGAAGCAATATGGGCCGGCGGAGTTCGCGAAATTGTTAAATTATGCTGATGGGGGAGGAAGAGGAAAAAGGATCCCCAAGCTGAGAAAACGAGCGAATGCCCACCGCCGAAGAATACTATCTGGGTCTAGCGAGGACGCAGTGGGTGAAACCGTGCCCACTCGAATCTACAACCCGCTGGATTAAACAGTTGGGACGGCGGGGTTCGAGAGGGAGAGAGAGAGAGAGAGAGAGAGAAAGAGAGAGAGAGAGAGAGACGCTGTTGGCCACCCGTTAGGCCATGGGGCCCAGGACAATGTTGGATTTGATGCCGAGTTGGGAGTTTCAGACGCATACCTCACCCCCTTTAATATTATAAAGGCCAAGTGGGGCCGGCGTCTGAAAGTGGCATTCCGCCTAGGACTTCTTCCAAACAAATTTCAGATCGCCTTCCAGGGCGATCTGAAATTCTCCCATGCCGTCTGAAAGTGGCGATTTTGCCTAGGACTTCCTCACAAAAAATTTCAGATCGATGTTCATGCTGCCTGAGAGTGGTCGTTTCGCTTAAGACGTCCTCAAACAGCACTTGTGGGTTGCCTTCCATGCCGCCACAAGACAAAGATTTCGTGTGCGATGATTTCCATAACTTTGTGCTGCAGAGCTCCACGCCCTGCGGAGCCGTTCCGTCATTCGGTTCACGGGCCTACCTTGGAGCCATCTCGGGGTTGATCGATGGTGGAGGCTCGAGGGCCAGTCGACCGGCGAAACCCGCGGGGATCGCTCTCTCGCATAGTGCCGGTCACAACTTTTTCATCCAGAGGGTGGTAGCACGTCTGGGTAATGTGTGGTGCGAACCCGTAACAAGTTATGATGATTGGGAGGGGGCGGAGCATGGATCGGGTTTGTGTCTACGAGGGGGGTGATCCGCCCCAGTCTCTTCCTCAGCTGCGAATGGTGGCCACTGCCCGCCATCGGGACTGGGAGGGGGGCAGAGGCTCAAGCCCTCCCACGTTGCGAGCTCGGTGAGCTCCTCCGAGAATGACCTCACACGGTTGATGTTATCCCCGGACTCTGCGGCAGTCACGCGGCGCGACGGTAGCCGAGAGGCCCACCTTGGGCGGGCAGCGAGGAGATGCCTGAGGTCCTTCCACCTCGTGTTGGCTGGCTTCTGGTTCCCGTGTGTGGTTGCGGGGCATTCTTTTCTCCCATAGATTGATCATCATTTTCGGCGGCAAGCATGCACTCGCGTGCGCCTGGCGTTCGGCTTTGGCTGGCCCAGCACAGTTCCCTCGAACACGAGCCTGGGCATTCAACTGGGGCTACAGTGGCACTTGACACATCCGCATGCGGAGCAAGGGCGACGCACGACGCCCGAAGCTCCGAGCAAAGCGGCCAGGGCTCTACCACACGAATAGCACAGGCTGCCCACGCCGCACCAACCCGAGACAGGGCAGCCCCCGATCGCATCACGACCACTACAACACGGCATGCTGCATCAGAGCTATTGGTCAGGTGCTGCGTCTTCAAAGTGACAAACGATGGTAAATAAAGGCATGTCTGTATGTATGTGTGTATATAAATATATACACAGTTGTATGATTTAGCTCTATCATCCCCCTCTCTCTGTTTCTCGCTCTCTCTCTCTCTCTCTCTCTCTCTCTCTCTCTCTCTTTCCCCCACCTTCCGAGAAATCGCTCGGGGCGGGTCCGCGCCAACATTGGCTTCGGACCTGACGCGGTGCTGGGCCGAGCGGCGGCCAGCACGGGAGAGGGCAAGCCCTTGGCCCAGCGCCGCTGGCCCCCGGTGCTGAGCAGACTGACGACCGCCCCCCCCCCCGCGGCCACCGCGGAGACCTCGACCTGCCCGAATCAACGATAAGCGCCCCCTCCACGGGCAGCCCCGCAAGGGCCCAGGGATGGCGGGCGGGCGCGAACGCAGCGGCAACCCCGCTGGGTCGCCGCACTCTCCTGCGCCAACACCGCAATGAGTTGTTCCTGCGCGCGGCGCCGCTCGCGCGAGGCGCCGCGTCGGCAGGGCGACCTGCGCGCGCACCTGCGCGCAACGCCGCTCGCGCGCGGCGCCGCGTCGGCAGGGCGACCTGCGCGCGCGACCCCCCGCAGCGGCCCTTGGCGCAACACACGCAAGCAGGAGAGCAAATGCGTTCAGCGACACACTGCGTAAAGCGCTAACACCGCGATCTGCCCCCGCCCCTCGACGCGATTTCTCCCGCAGCGCAAACGTTCCGCGCGCCCGCCTTCCAAACATCGCGCAGGCCAGGACCAAGCAGGCCTCCACTCATTGGATTTCAGCTGCATAAGATCGAAGGCCAAAACTCGCGAACCTGCAGAAAGCGCTGCGGCGTCATTATCTTTGCGGGGCCGATCACGCGGTACTACGACGCGGGGGCGCGGTCCACGCCCAGAACTGCGCGGCAGAAAAGCTCATGCATCGTGCCGATGATCACCCGCTGCGCGCGCCAAACAAAATACTTTCTTGGGGCAGCCTTTACTATCGCCAAGATCGGCGGCGCGTCGTCCAGCATGGCGATGACCGGCACGGCGCGCCGAATCAAATGTTCCAGCAATCGCTGCATCGGGATCGCCTCGTGCTTGGTAACCTAACACACGGCAACGGTATCCTCCTCTGCCGTGCTGCCAGCCGCACGCATCTGTTGCGCGCCTTCCGGCAGAGAGGCCAGCGGCGGCCGGATGAAGGAGCCGCCAGCTCGCGCATCTCGAACTGCGGGCGCGCTTCGCGTCGGCATGCCAATCAAAGTCGCTCCACAGCAGGAGCCAGACCTCTCTCAGATTGGATGAGCCCATCGCCGCCTCAAAGCTCATTGGCCTGGCTGTGGCCAGGTAGCCGAAGCTCCTGATGAAAGCCCTCGGGGAAAGTCGCCCAGCGCGTCAAGACTGAGCATAGGCACTGCGCAGCCACGGACATGTCCAGACAAGCGACCTGGCTCAAGAAGAGCAAAATTGCAATGTGGGGGGGCTGCGCTGCTGATGTAAACACCAAGATGACCCGTGGTTCCCCCACTCCTCTGGCGCAGGAAAGAAGACCCGAACAAGAGGTGAAGGCCGCGCGTCCAAGAAGAGCGCCACGGCGTTCTGGGCATTGTTGTCCATGTCGGCGGTCATCCTGCTCGTCGCGTCAGGGCGCGGCTGGGATGACGGGAGCGAACACGCACCTCGCGCCAAGAAGCCTCGAAATATCTGCCTCTGGATTCTAAATGGCGACGATGGACTCCAAGGCACGGCAGAGCCCATCATGATCCTCCAGGCGCGCTGCCATCCCATCAGAAGTCGCCCGCGGAAGCCAACAGAATGGCGCCCGAGGCGTGCAGGTAGACGTCAGGGTGGAAAGGGCCGACGGCGGACCAGCCCAGCTCGGTCCACACCTCGTCGAGCTTCGCTTCCCGAACTGCCCTGGATTCGGGGTGGCCGTACAAAATTTTGACCAGCCTGCAGCGGGGCCAGACGCAGCTAGGGCGCCCGCGACCAGCTCCATCGTGGAACCAATCGTCGGGCCACCGCTCGCGGGGCAGATCCACGAAGGCGGTAACCCTGGTGTCCATGTCGATGGGTGCCTGGAGGTACGCCGACTCCTCGTCGCGCAGCGTGGCTTGCATGCCCAGCAATGCCGCCGCTGGAAGCGCTGTGGGCCAAGGCGGAGGACGCCGGGGCATTGGAGACATCCTCGGACAAATCGGCGACGTTCTCTCTGATCTTCGTCCAGATGTTGTTCCCCTGGAACACCACTCACGCCGTCCCAATTGAATTTTCAGGACAGAGCTCTTCACCCTTCACACCTTGAGCGTGGGGTCCGCCGCCAGGTCGTGCAAGCTCTGGACGTCAGCAATGTCCCAACAACCATTGGCCTTCATGCTGCCCATTTATTTCTGCATGGCCGCCCGCGCTCCCGGGCAGACTCGAGCATTGTTTAACCGATCCCTATCCCACCAGCGTGGCCTAGGTCTCACTGGCCGATCTAACCCCGAGATGGAGACAGAGGCTGTTCCGTTCGGGTTTCGAGGGTATAAACCCCATTGGGGTGGTGGGATTGTGGAGCGAGCGACTCGTTCCCCGGTTGAACGACTCATCCCCTGGTTGTTCGACTCGTTCCCCGGCGGAAATAAAAACAACTTGGCGGAAATTCGCCGGCCCAACGGGCTAGGGCGTGCTAAGATCTCCGGTACCTGGTTAACAGTATTTCTAGTTCGCGCGCGCGGGGCGGCCCCTGGGGGTCCCCGGACGAAAAGTACCCCGGCAAGGTCCCGGCAAGTCCCCGGCAAGTCCCCGGCAAGGTCCCGGCAAGGTCGGGCCAGAGATGCCGGAGTTCTGTTTCGGAGTCCAAGAGGGCTCCAGATCGGTCCAAGAGGGCCCCGAGAAGCTTTCTAGACGGTCCAAGAGAGGCCCGAGACGGCCAAAGATCGCCCGAAGACGCCCCAGATGGCCCCAAGACAGCCCAAGAGGCCTCCAAGACGCTCCAAGGGCCTTCCAAGAGGCCTCCGAAGAGGGCCCCAAGTTGCTCAAATCGTTGATTTTCATGGGTTTGTTCTATGTTTTTGTTGCGTTCTGGCCTTTTCGCTTCCGGACGCTCCAAGAGGGCCCAAAAGGCCTTCAAGACTGCTCCAAGACGGCCCACGAGGCTCCCAAGACGGCCCCGGAGCGGCCCAAGAGCGCCCCCCAGACGGCCCAAGTGCCGCCCAAGGCGGACCAAGAGGCCCCAAGACGGGCCCAAGAGGGGCTCAAGAAGGGAACCGAGAACTGAAAAATCGAGCCCTCCGCCCCAGAAGGCGCCCAGGACCCCGAAAGAGGCCCCAAGAGACTCTCCAAGACACCCCCAAGACGCCCCAATAAGCTCCCGTGAGGCCCCAAGAGGACCAACAACGTCAGGCCCCAGGCCCCAAGAGGACCAACAAATACCGCCAAGAGCCCGCCGAAAGCCCCCCAAGAGACCGTCACGAGAGCTCAGGAGGCCCCCTGGAGGCCTCCCGAGTTCTCCAAGAGGCCTAAAAAGAGGCGCCAAGAGGCCCCAAACGGCCCCAACGAGGCTCCAAGAGGCCACGATGGCACAATACGGGCCGGCGGAATGAGCGAAGCGATTAAATAAAAACAACTTGAAAGAACTTGTTCCCCGGCGGATCTCATACTTAAAACTGTTGTCTCAAGATGTCATAGCGACCACCAATACGAGTTCACCCCTTACACGTAGCCACTCACGTTCGAAACAACATGACTCCGACCAGGGAACGAGCTCGTCTGAAGACAAGGAGCAAGAAGAACAGGAGGTGTCGGGGCCGAAGGAGGACCAGCCGGAAAACTAGGAGAGGAACGGGAGGGGGCGGAGGAGCTGGAAGAGGACAGGGACGGCGAGGACGAAGAGGAGAAAAAATAGCAAGAGGGGGAGGAAGTGGAGGAGAATGGCCTCAACACGGCCGAGTGGAGAGCCACAACATGGGCCCAAGAGAGCTCCTGCATGGTCCCAAAAAGTTCCCAAGAGGGGCGCCAGGAGGCGACTTACAATCCTCGGGGGGGGGGGGGGGGGGCACATTAAGGACCCCTCTTCTTTGATCGATGGCCTTCCAGTAAGCCCCATTCAGGCCCCACGCGGGCCCCAAGAGCCTCCAAAGTGGCACCAAGAGGGCACCGATATGACCCAAGCAAGCTGCCATGAGGCTCTCATGTCGAAAGATCCTGGAAGGCATGTGTGCCTGACTCCTGGGTCTGCCCGGGCTGATCCAGAGCGTCGGTTCAACGGCTGTCCCATTATTTGTTCCACTGCGTATGCCTCAACTTCCCTGGTCAAAGCAAATCGCCTGGCCATCGGTTCTGGACGGGCTGGCGGAAATATGTGAAGCGTCAAGAGTCGCTCGTCAACTCACGTAATTCGCACGCGGTCTGCCGCAATCCACACGCCCTGGCATCACAAAGGCTGTCGGAAGCGAGAGGGCGGGCTGGTACCAACGACGGATTACGGTAGTGGTGTTTTTTTTGTGTCGGAAATGCTCCCCTGTCTAGCCTCGGAGGTACGTCACAACACGCGTAGCCACCGTGGCCACTCGTCAATAAGCTGAGAGCGCGCCCGCTCTGCAGCAGCGAGGGAGGGGGGAAAGACAGGAAGCAGCAGCAGGAGACGGGGGAAAAGAGAACGATGGAAGTGGATGGACGAAGAGGAGTCCAGAAAGCAGGTAAGCATCAACTGGAAGACCTTGCCGTCTGTCAGCTTTACCTCGAAACGGCCCTTCTCCTCGGAGTAGGCTTTGATCACTCCGACCTGGCGGGGGCGAGGGCGAGGACAAAAAATCCCGCAGGAACTCCTCCTCCCTGTCACTATCATGTTTTTCATCCTCGTCCTTATTCTCCTTCTCCTCCTCCACCTCTTCATCCTCCTCCGCCAACCTCCCTCACTCAACTCACCCCTCCTCTCCGTCATCCCCAATCGCTACCATCCTTCACCCCCACCTCTCCCTTGCTATGTCCTTCGCCGCCTCCCAAGCTACTGCGACCTCTCCCCCGCCGCTCCTGCGCGTGTTCCGGTGCACCCAGACAGTTTCCCGACGCCCCTCTTCAAACCCCGAAAGGCACCCAACCCCCAACTCATTCCGCCCAGCGCGCTGCGTTTGCCGTCGCAAGGAAGATGGCCGCGTTCCGCGCCTCATTGCCTTTTCATGTTTGCTTGTTCGGATCGGGGTTCACTCGAGTCCGTTCTGTCGGCCGCTGCATCCATCTATAGATCTGGACTTCTCGGGGAGTGGTGGAGGAGGGCGGAGGACGCCCCCCAGTCTGCGCCGTGAGAAAGCCACGGCGCGGCGAAGTAAATGGCGGCTAAGGCTGGCGGGCCCCGTCCTTTTGCGGCATGTGCGCCGAAGAGGAGTTCAAAAAGAGAGGGCCATGACGTCCGAGGCACGCGCGCGGACGATAGGGGGGGCCAAAAGATGCGGAAATGCAGGAGATGTCGCGCCCACGACCATGATACCCACACACCCATACTCCGCAAACGCCCCTCCTCGAGCGAACGAGCCAAGCGAGCGAGCCTGTCGGCTGCTCGGCCCTGCGCCGAGCATGGGTGAACAATCAGTCGACCAGCCAAACTACCAGGGTTAAATATTAGCAGCATTAAGTGGGAACTCGGATAAACGCACGCGATCTCGACTCGGACGAGGAGCAGAAGGGGGGGCAGTGAAGGAGAGTGAGAAAGGGGGGAGAGGGGGGGCACCAACACTTCATCATGTAGAACTCGCGGTGCACTGTTTTTCCCCGTCCGGCGTTTGCAGCGCCTGTTCCAATGAATGCGGGCCGACGTGAGCGCAGAACTGCTCGATGTCTTCGCACCATTGCAGCGGTGGTTTGCCTCGCTCTCACGCGCGAGCAGACTGCAGATGTCGAATATGGGGCGCCCATGTTTGAACTCCTCCGCAGAAGAACCGGCGAGCAAGCCGCTACTTCACAGAGAACGCCCTGTCCGATACGTCTGGGGAGGCTGTCGTGGACAGCATGTTCGACACGCGCGCGTGCATCCCGCGCATCGTGTCCTAAGAGCTCTCGCATTCCGCTCTCCTCCAGCCAGCCATGTTTCGGAACATCTTCGCCCGCGCTCCCCGGAACGTGGCGCGGCACTGCGGCATCAGCGCCAAGCTGGCCAGCCCATACAGCAAGACTTGCAAGACTGGAGCTCAAAAGCTTGATGCGGTGACCAGCGCCGATATGTTGGCTCATGAGTGCGTGAGGTTTGGTCTGAATTTGGTGTCATACCACTGATACCCTTTCAGACGGCAGTTGTCGGGAATCGTCCGAAGAAAGACAGTGCAAGCAACGGCGAAGAATACATTTGATGTTGCAAGTGCCGGGTGGCACACAAACGCCTCTGGAGGAGATTCGCCTTCGCTGCGTTCAATTGCAGCCATACGGCCTGGAACTCCTCAATTCAGAGCCAGAGCGAAATTTCGGCGCTCTCCAGTGAGCGGGCATAGAGCAGAACATCGTCTGCAACCCGAACGTTCGTGAGGTTTTCTACCTGCCCCTGGAAGCTCAATCCCTGCGTTGCGAGGCGGCCCTTCCGCATTACTGCGTCGAATCAGCACGGACTCAAGACGTCCCCCCGGGAAACGACCCAGAAAACTGGACGTCGTTCGTGCTTCATTTGCCCGTATATCCCGAGTACAGCTCTTGCACGAAGCAATGTCTCATCCACACATTTTGCTGCAAGATGGCCTCGGTAACCGATTCCTGAAAGACTTTATCGAACGCCTTGCTGAGGTCCAGGCTTACAATCCAATGCCCTGGTTGAACGCGTCGGCAAATCCCACAATGTGCACCACGCAACGCAGAACCCCGAACCTCTCAGGCCGGACCCTGCCCACGAGGGACCCGGGGCCCAGAGCCGCGGCGATGAGGGGAGGCCCCCGATGGTGAAACCGCACGTTCCTGGGCGGGGTGGGTTTTCAGGCGCCCGTCGGGACTCAGTGGGCGATTGGGGGCCAATGCGCTCCCCCCCGAGCCTATCCCCTATCGTTGCCCCTAGGTGAGCACGACTGGAGCTGCCGAACCACGGCGCGGCCCGCAAGGGCGGCGGGTCGGGGCAACGGCGCTGGCACGTCTTGACGCTCAGCGCCGCATTCTGGCCGCTGGAGAGGGGCCTGGAGCTTCGACCACAGGGCAGCTCGCCGATTCTGCATGTCCCACGTGGTGTTCCCTAATATCTGCTCAAATATCGGTTCGCAACGGCCGAGGCGGCCGCCGAAAGGTCCCAAGATGCAGCCCAGGATCGTTCCCCAAAACGCCCTGAGGATCCGAGGCATCCGAAAGTCCTCCGAGATTGCCACATATGGCCCGAGAGTGGCCGCAGAGGTCCTTGAAGAGCCGCGGAAAAGCCCATGATGGCCTCACACGGCAGTGGTTGCGCCGTAGGCTCAGCAGGCAGCCGAAAATGCAACGGCCTACCAGTGGTCGGCCGTAAAATGCGAATTTGACGGTCGAGAATATCCCCGTATGCTCACGTGTGCGACCAGTCCAGTCCAGTCAGTAATCCTCGGGAAATCGAATTCGTGCTACGCCCCAAAAAATTCGCCGAAAAACTCCGAGGACGAGGCTGAGGTTG